CCGTGTTACCGAGATCGGTCCCGGTCTTCAGCAGAACACGAGACTTTTCTTTGACCGATACAAACACGTCAAGAGTTGGGAGTCCCGATTGTGGGTCTCCTTCGGGCGATTGATCCAAGTACACAGACACTGGTTGCTGAAAAATGTCTGCAATTGCGTTAATCAAGCTCTTAGTGGCAGAGAACAATGATCTACAAACCGAATCTACTTAGTTTATCGGCACGTGCCGAGACTTCCCGTAAGGCTTCAGAAAGTGTGTGAGGCCTTTTCTGGTTAGAACTCAAGAGAGGGTTGAAAATCCGTTCAAGAAAGCCCCTGCGCGTGTGGTGTGCGTTGAGTATTTGAACAGACGAAATGACACATGGAAGGGTGGAATTTTGGTCGATCTGATATCATAGACAGATGGTCAGTTCTCATTGTATGAGGTTCAGTTGTCTTTTGCCTGTATGCAATAATCGAAAAGGGGGGGAAACAAAAATAAGAGAAATATAAGAGGGAGGTGAAACCACACCAATTCCCCAAGACGGGTCTGCGCCTTCTGGTAGATCGCGTGTATTCGCTCATTCACGGCCTGCTGTTGCTCCTCGAGCACTTTCGGGTCGGCACGCTGTTGAAGACGCTCGAAGATCTGAGAAAACAGAGAAAGTCGGTTAGCAATCACAAAAATAAGCGTCTTTTAATGAATTCCAAGAGATGAAACGTACGTCTTCATCTTCGGTGGAAAGCGGGGAAGACATTGTTGCGGCTACAATGGCCAACGACGCCTCTGGAAGGCTTTCTAGGTCACCTTCGATTGTCTCGGAAGTTGAGACGAAGTCTACATATGGCACGTGACCCGCAGTGCTCCTTAGATTCAACTCCACTGGCACCTACAAACACAGTGACTCTCCATCATCATCACTTCGTCCAATAGACAAGCCCTGCACAGTTTACGAACTGTATCGCCCTGCTTCCTTTTTATCATCTCCGTGGAATTTCCTCTGTATATCCGTACTTGGAAGCAGTGCTCGAACGAGACAAAACATAATTCTTATGATAAGATGGCGACGAAAGCAGCCTTCAAACGGGTGAGTCTAACAACTTAAATAGTATTCGAGCTATGACTAATCACTATACAGCTTACTCGTGAATATCAGAACATACAAAAGAACCCACCACCCTATATAATTGCTCATCCATCGGAGTCCAACATTCTTGAGTAAGATGTCGATCACGTTTCCCGTTGTCTCCTCCGAGTCGGCATTGATGCAGAGTATAGATGGCATTACATTCTCACTGGGCCCCCTGGGACACCGTACGAGAATGGACAATACTGGGGTACCTTGATGTTTCCTCCAGAGTACCCATTTGCTCCACCAGCCATCCGCATGCATACCCCAAGCGGCCGATTTCAACCATCTGCTCGATTATGTCTCAGCATCAGTGATTTTCACCCGAAGTCCTTTAACCCAGCTTGGGAAGTTTCGACGATTCTTATCGGACTACTCTCCTTTATGACTAGCGAAGAGATGACTACGGGTAGTGTCAGTGCGTCAGAAGCGGAACGAAGAGTGCTGGCCGCGCGATCGAGGTGGTGGAACTCCACAGGCGGAGGATCTCACGTCATTTCCACTCCAGGAGTGACCCCTACAGCCAAGGGAATCAACAATGTGAAAGCAGGAGATGGCGGGCTGAAGTTTCGCGCGGAATGGCCAGAATTAGACCAAGAGAATTGGAAGTGGATGAGAGACAATCGGATTGACACGAACACTGGCCAACTCATACCTGACCCCAATGCTGCTGCTGCTGCTACAAAATGTTCTCCAGAGACCAGTGCACTACGTAGGCGCCCGAACGGAAGTGCCCATGGCCTCGGGGCTGTGGTAGAAGGTGGCCACGTCGCACGAGAAGCGGGCCAAAGCTGGGTTCGACGGAATCGAGTTTGGGTTGGTCTCGCCTTATTATTTGGATATGCGCTTGTCGCGAGACTACTAAATGATGTTCAAGGTTAAGATTGAGTTTCTTGACTCTTGACTCTTTTCATACCCAGGAGGCGTTTAACACCCAATACGTGGCGTCATTTTATATCTCGTTTTTTTGTCGATGTTCTTTTTATCTTCCTCTTCCTCTTCCTCCCTTGTATATTCTATTTTTCTTTACTGTCCATTATTGTTCTCTCTTTCCTTTACTTTTTTCCTCCATTCCTCGACCGTCCCCTTTTTCTACAGCGGCAGTCTCCTATATCTTTCTCCGTGTTTTGTAAGGTTCGTTGGTTTTATAAGGACCGAGAGGCGTCTGGAAACAAGGCGGCGTTCGGTGGTAATTTGAGAAGCTTCAGATGTCTGGGACGTATTTAAACACTAGTGTGTTCTGCAATCAAGGATCACTGCACCCTTCCACTGCACCACTGTACATCGTATATCCTACAGCGTATACACTTAGTTTGATTTAGTCATCTACTGGTGATTTCAAACTGGGCATGGAGATCAAAAGTACATACACGCCATTTCCCAAAATCATATTCGCAACTGCGTGTGTAGTAGATACATATAGTGAAGAGCCACCTAACTTTAACTGAGGCCTTGAAGAATACCCCGGTTAATGGCGGCCATAGATATGAGGGTCCTAAGGTGAGATAGCAATGTTACATGAATGACTTCACAATACAACATCTGCTGCTTTTGAAGTTGCGGGCATTCTCGCGACATTCCATATCTCTTCTATTGTTGTGATTTGTTATTTTGCTTTATTTTTTCACCTTTACAGGAAGATGATGAGCTAGGTTAGATTAAAACTCTTCCGTAGAACAACTTAGAGGTAATGTGAATATATATTGCAGTTAACAATGCGTGATCGCCCTGCTTAGTCGACTGATACTAGATGTGAAAATCTTAATTTATGTTTTTATATCAAATTATGTCGGCATAATAATGCCCCTTTAACCCCTGATGGTCTAGTTGGATATGGCGTCCGGCTGCAATGGTATATACCTAAGCTCGATATAGTCCACTGAATGCCCGCTAGACTAGCATAGGTAGAGGCGATATTTCAATCAAGGAGAAGGAGACTGTTGCAAAAGTATGCGACTCCCTATACCCAGCAGACCTGACCGCCTCAGATGACAGCCCTCGTGCAGTCGTTTCACCGCCCACCTAGTTTATATAGTAGTAAATAGAACAATGGCAAACAAAGCGCTTGATTTTGAAGCCATTCAGCTCTATACAACGTGCTAATATGGCTCCTAGAGGGGAATAGTGGGATCCTCAGCTGCACGCGTGTATATGTGAGCTCCATTCGATTGGCTGGGGGGCCAAAAGGATCAAAAATTTACACCCTGAGCTATCACTTTCTACTATTAAACCTACTAATCTCCTTGAATCCCAGCGTCTTTAATAATACTACACGTTCCCGCTCAGGCAGACCTAGAAAGCTGACTTTAGATCAGCATACACACGTTCTAGAGTTTGTTAATTAAGGTCCTTACTATACAAATAAAGATTTATTGACAGCAGTCAACTATATAGTCCAAAGAAGCTCGATAAAACGTCTCCTACATATATCAGACAAGCGGAAATAGCGCCACTGCGCCAGAGATCTAGGTCTGACTCCTGAGTAAGCCAGAATACACAGTCAAAAGGCTTGCCTGGGCAAGGAGATATACCTACTATATCCCTGAGATTCGAGAATTGGGAGCGCGTGAAATAGAGCGATGATATACAGTTGAACGAGGCCCAAAAAAAAAAAAAAAAAAAACCGAGTATGTTGGACTTTCCTAAGACCTTCTGAACAGCTGAGATATAGTGATATTCTCCTACTATTTCATAATAAGACAGTAAAACAGACATTTTGGGCTGTCTTTGGTAAAGATATTATGATATATATACAGGCCTTGTTCTACTAGATAGAGTCGAGACCCTGAGGCACCCCGTAGAGATATTGGTAGATAAATTATTACAATATTATATCAGGCTTTTCTATCTAATTTAATTCAACCTGGTAATATCGTTATACGCGATAATACAGGAGTCCACAGGTGACAAGATCTGGCAGATTGAAAATGTACTGCAGGAACTCAATATCAATATAATAGAATAGCTATCTTATTCGCCTGACTTAAAAATTCTATGGAAAATCTCTAGACACTGATAAAGCAGGAAAGTTATAAACTGTATCAGTGGGAGCCTGGGAGGTAATTGAAATTTGGAACACCAGCTTAACGTTTTGCGGCCGACTTAGGAACCGCCTACTAAACTAGGACTATTCTGGCTGGCAGAAACTTTATAAATTCCTATCCTAGTATTTAGTATATTATCTCTGGGCCTCGATAATAGTCTTTACACAGTAAGATATAGTTTAGGATTGGTGTACTAGAATTCTCTGTTCCATAGTCTCACTGTTTAGATATATTATAAGCTTATAGGCGAGGCTGATACTGAGGCTATACACCAACAGCTTATTGAAACTGCTAAGAAAGATTGGCACACTATTCGAATTAACGTCCTAGTGAAACTGTCAACTACTATGCCCCACAAGGTTCAGGCTGTGATAGAGGCAGAGGGGTGGTATATTAAATACTGAATAGCTTTAAAAAAAAAAGCTTAAAATCCCTTATTTAAGCAGTTGTTTTGGTTCTAGATGCGTGGACGTGTACAGAGTAGGTCAGGCAGAACCCTAGTTCTACTGGCAAAAAAATGAGGCGGTCAGGACCGCTAGGTATAGGGGGTCACATACTTTTGGACCCCCACTATAGTAGGAGGATTGTAAGAGATAAGATCTAGAAATGAGTTCTATCTAGTATATAATATACTACCTTCCAAGTAAGAAGGTTGGTTGTGGAATCGGACCGCCTGGCTGTGGGCGGATGATTACCCTTCAGTTACTATACCGTTTCTCCCTTTTGTATGGAGTAGTCCAGCTCTAGTTCTGCCCGGTACGGTATGGCTGGTCGCTGTGCAACCATTTACCCCGGCAATGCTCCTGGGTTTGCTTGGTAACTCATTCTTCCACCTCCCCATTTTCACCCTTTCAGTAGTGTCAAGGCGTTGGGTCATCCGATAAGCATCGGTTTGAGGAACTTGCTATTATGAACTCTGCCACAAGGTCTATTGCCACGCATTACTCCCATTCAGGTCCGTCTGAGTTTGTATTGTCCTTTTGTCCTTATAATCATCACCATCATCATATTTGAAATCTTCGGCATCATAATAGCCACCCCTCCCCCCTCCTCTCTTGTTAGATTATGTCTTATCTCGAAATGAACTTTCTCCCTCGACTTTGTACCTTATATATCTCCCTGAAGATCGTGCTGTACTACCCAGTGCACCTGCTTGTCACTCTTCATAGCTTTTTTTTTTCCTACTCTTTTCTCTCTCCTTTCTTTTTGCCCTGTGTATCTGACTCCCGCCAGAATTTGAAACCTGCTATCCCCTTCTGATTGATACTAGATCATTTGTATCAATGCAACATCAACCGTCATAATACACTCAGTACCTATTATTTCGAGTGTTGATTCGTCTTTCTAGGGCCGAGGTCAACAATAATTACACCGCCGGATCGACCTACATTCACATTTATTGACCATGATGATGATTTGAGTTCCAAACGAATCAAAGATGCTAATGCTCGTAGGACTATTCGCTCCCACGTTATGCGTGACGTGCGTAGGCGCGAGCGACTTGCTGGACTGAAGCGTGTTCCTAGGCGTGACGGACTCGCAGATAAAGCCGTTGTCCAGTCAAACTTCGAAGACTCGCCGTCAGAGCGTGCCTTACCCACTAATCCATCCTCGGAGCCAAAATCACTCATAGGAAGAGGACCGCCTTGTGACATTGCTAAGAATAAAGAAAAACGCCAACAGCAACCAGATAGGCGCTGTACTGGTCATTCAATATCAACTGGCTCTATTTCAATTCCGCTTCAGTGTCCGACCTCATGGCTTGTCGACCCTTTCAATACATTGCCAGGTGCTAGTGATGTACCAATTATTACTAGTCGACTAGTCTTTTACTGTGAGTTGACCACTTTGTCTGTACCTGCTATGTTGTTTCTTGGTCCAGGGATCCGTTGGCGATTTCTCGAGTTTCGCAAAGTGTACGTCGATTGATAAAGTGCACTGTCTGCAAGTACTAAACTCCGACTGACCCGGTAAATTACCTAGGGGGAACTGTTTTTGTGCCGATGACTTTCCCGAAAGAACATGCTTTCAATGAGCGGGCTAAAACCGAAATGGCAGTCCAATCTTCATTCACAGATCAGGGAAGTTTCTTTGGCTTGATGAGCATGTGCGCTGCCCACCGAGCTGTTTTGGCTGGACATCATTCACAGTTCCAAGTTGCTTCAGAAGTGTCCCATCGCTTTTTGCACGATGCAGATTATTATGTTATGAAAGCCAGGTGTATCCGTGAGATGAATATAAAATTGCGCAACCCCGCTCTATCGTTAAGCAACGAAGCATTTGGCACAATCATTAATCTTCTTACGGGTGCGGTATGTATTCTTATTTCTTTGCTCCGGTCGTTTCCATGTTATTGGCAGTGGGTCGCCCATTGAAATTTTAAGACACAACTCTTGCCAATAAGTTCTTCTAACCCTTACCAGCTGATAGTGGGATTGTTTGAAGAAGCTCGTATGCACCTCAGAGGCTTGAAGCGCATGGTGGACTTGCGAGGAGGTATTACAGACAGCAGTATCCATCAGTCTTCAATGCTAGCTGCTATTCTTACGTACGTGCTTCGCCATGTACTTGTTACCGAATCTTGTTGACTGGTAATATAGCACTGATGTGAAGACTGCGTCGGGACTCATGACCCAGCCGGTTTTCCCTTTGGCTCGGGACTTGCAACCGGTTTCAGCCAGTATTAAAGAGCGTATAGCGCCCCCGGAGACGTCAGAATTACAGAGAGTAGGCGTTGCATTCGTCTCTAACCCCTACCTCAGCGCATGTTTGCTAAGTATTCTCCGTGCTATGCGTGATATTGTACTTTACGGCCAGGCTTGCAACCAAAATCCCACTGTACTCTGCACCGATGACCACGAATTCTTTCGCAGTCTCAATCGTGAAGTTGAGCATCGGCTCCTTAGTTATGTGTATTCTGAATCCACTACACGAGACATGCCATTTTCTAAGACAGCATCATATCTTGGTTCTGTGGAAGCTGTCACCAGGATCGCTTCTATATGTTACCTAAACCATTTCCTTATCGTATCGCCCCCGTCTTCGGGGCTGGGTCGTGCGCTCACAAGACATTTGAAGCAAGCTATAGCTAATTGTCATTGGCCACCGTTATCGAAGGAGGGTCATGGGTTGCTCGCATGGGTGTTATTTATTGGTGCTCAAAGCTCGGCAGGCCAAATTGAACGCCCATGGTTTGTTGAGCGTCTATCCCACATCGCTCTAATTTGTGGGTGGCACACCTGGAGGCAGATGTCCGAAGTGTTGATTGATTACTTTTATCTTCCTAGTACCAACCAAGCGGGGTGGGCATCCATCTGGAACGAGGCCATGGTTTGATATATTATGTGCACTAAACACAGATCGAGGGTTGCTCTATTGGCCTGCTCTTGGTATATTCTAGTTGAAAAATCAATGCCATAGTATATACAACACTCTGCCGTTGGCGACAAAGCTACTCAAGATATGCTTGGCGAACAACAGCTGCACCTAAATATTGCCAAACTCCATTGCCCCCCCATAGCAGGGCTAGGTGAAAGATCTCCGCCAGGTGACTAAGCTCCAGTTATCAATAGCTACAGTACTAGTCGCGGGGGTGTGCTTCTGGAGGGCTGAATAACTATGGAGTACTCCACAGAGAACTGAAAGAACGAGAATGCGGCACTGGAAGCGCGTGCCCTTAACTACTACGGAGTATGGTTTGCGTTCTAGTAACTAGTTAACTAACGAGATCGGTAAGCGAGCGACACATGTAAGCGGGTGACACAGCTCTGTTTTCCATACAAATCAGCCCTTTTTGCTACTTGGATATCTCAGCAACCAGAGATTGCAAAGATATAATATTTTATATATAATATATTAGTAGGGTAAAAAAGACCTAAAATATTTTTCTCTTATATTTTTTTATTTTTAGTCTTACACTTTCCAGTAGAAATATTAAAAATATAGATATAATATTTAATACTGAAAGAAATATCGCTTATATAAACTTCTCTACTTTCTATATTAAAGATAAAGTACTAATATATACTATCTTTGAATATTATACTACTATAGCCTGTGGTTGCTGGGATATTCCAGTAGTAAAAAGGGCTGATTTGTATGGAATATAGGGTTGCGTCGCCAGTGTAGTCAGGGTAGAGGACCTGTCAACTACTAGGTAAGGGTACGTAGGCAGAAAGGCAAGCAGTAGATACTATGTAGACAGAAGGCTGATTCTTGCCTTTCTCTTATTGATATCAAGCTACCTTTTATAGCTAAAAGAGATCTCCTTTTTTCCGATAGAATAGGATCGAGAAGGGGGCTACTATCTGTTGTTGAAAAGGCAACGGATGTGTCCTCCGATGTTGCTGTTCGGCCACCGAGGTGTCTATGCACAGCGGGCAGGGTATACGATGCAGTCATCTGTGACAGCCAGCTTATATGCGTCGCTCGCTTACCAGTCACGTTAATAGAAAACCCGTTAGTAATTACCAATGTCCACTAGTTAGTACCAAAGCTAGTCAAGTGACCTGTGGTAAGGAGTACAAGTACTGTTTAGTTAACGTAATCGGTAAACGACCCGCCATCTTCTGTTATGTTACTCCGGGGTTAGATGACAAAGCGGTGATGTTGTGAACGCATAAAGGCCCTTTGTTAGAACAAAGGCTCTTTGTATTCAACCACGTGATCTCCGGCCTATATAGAAGGCCTATCTTTGTTCTAGGGATCAAGTAGAAATCAAGAGTCTTACCTTCTTTTAGGCATCATATATTCTTCATTCTTTACAGATGTTGCTGTCACGTTTAGGTAATCAGTGTAAGGTAACGTACTCGGTAAGCCAGCCGCACCCCTCTGATTTCCATAGAAAACTGTCATTTTCAAAAAGAAATATCTCAACCATTACTTAATATATTTGTTTAAAATTAGACTATCTTATTAATATCAGTATTCTTTATATATATATTTAGTTCAAATCAAAAAAGAGGTCTTGGAATATATAAATCCTAACAATATACTATAAAATATGCTATAATATATCTTTATTTAGTAACTAGAAGTTGAAAACGTCTCTTAGCTTAGTATATTTTTATTCTAATATATAATAGGCTACATATAAACTTTTAAGCACATAGAAACTGGATCGGTTGAGATATTGTTGTTTGAAAATAGGCGATTTTCTATGGAAATAAGAGGTGGCTTACCAAGTACGTTAACTAATTACTGTATTAACTAATAGTTAGCCGCTAAGTTGAACTGATACTGGCTGCTCAAATCTTCGAATTATGTTCTGTTTACAGACTCGACATACGGAGTATATTGATTTTGCATTTTTCTCATGAAGATACAAATAAATGAAGAAATGGACTTTTAGTTTTGAGAAGTGGACCTAATCGCTGTACAAAATACAGAGGTCATTTATATCATTAAACCTAGCCCGACGGAGTTCACGGACATTCTCCGGCTTTTTTCCTTTTCCTTTTCCCTTTTTTTTTTTATTCTTTTAAAGATAAAAAAGTCCTTCAGGTTCCCTTCCACTTTTATAAGGCCTGCTTTCCCTCTGTATTTAGCTTACCAACCAGTCGTCGCCTATATACTTTATATCTCTGCAACTTCCTTTCTGGAATCTTCCCCTTCATTTTCTCATCTCTCTCCTAGCTTTTCTTTTTCTTTTTTTCCCAAATGGGTTGGTTCTGGGCAGACTCCCCGTCGCTGCCAACACCTGTGGCTCCGAACCCATTGGCATCCTCGGACACCACACCCCCGGTAAGTCACCGTATTTCATGCATACCTGTTCAAGCTACTAATACTGCTTCATAGCCAGCATGTCCAATGTACACGAGCAACTCGTCGCCTCCGGTGCCATCTTCAGTTCCTGAACCACCTACTGCCTGCCCCGTCCGGTCTAAAGACTCTCCCTTCTATGTGCCACCCAAGTTAAAATCCCCAGATACGCCATTGCCTTCTAAAGCAGAAAACAAGTCAACCCTATCAAAACTGAACCCTTTGAACTATATGTTTTCTTCCATCTCTCAGGAACGAGCACCGAACCAAACCGTCGATTTGCCGCTGGAGCGTGAACCTTCCTCTATACCCCGCGGAGATACAGATAGCAATTGGGAGTATCCGTCTCCTCAGCAAATGTACAATGCAATGTTGCGCAAAGGTTACACGGATACCCCTCAGGATGCAGTGGAGGCAATGGTTGCAGTGCACAACTTTCTGAATGAAGGCGCTTGGGAGGAAATTGTCGGATGGGAACGTTTATTCTCAAAAGGTCTAAAAGAAGGCTGGGTAAAATGTCGACGTGGCGAGGAAAATATCGCATTAGATGCAGCCAGGGAGGAGTTGATAGGTGCGAGTGCACAGGAGAATCAGCCTCGTCTTCTCAGGTTCAAAGGTCGGCCACAGGAGCTTACTCCAAAGGCGCAAGTACTGCAAACACTGGGTTGGCTGTATCCAGCAAAGTTTGGGTTAGTATACCAGTTGCTCTTATTTGGCATGCCGTTGTATTGTGTTACTGATATGTTCTAGAACACCCCCACCGTTCGATCGACACGACTGGTTTGTGATGCGACAGACGCCGTCTGGCCCGAAAGAAGTGCGTTATGTGATTGATTACTATTCAGGGCCTCCGGAGCCAACAGGAGAGCCAGTTTTCTATCTGGATATCAGGCCTGCCTTGGACACACCTACCGCTGCTATCGAACGGTTGATGAGATGGGGAGGCGATGTTTGGTGGCGAGCTACTGGTGCTGCAATTCGAGAGAATGGCAGGAACTAATGGGATAATTTGATTGCTGATGATATTGCTCTTCAGCGACGATGACTCTCCACTCACCTGTATACTGAACAAGGCGCGGGCGTCTAATGGTCCTCCATAGGGACGCATCATTCTATATCTTTTTTTTTTACCTTCCTTGTTTCTCTCTACACTCAACCTAATCCTTTCGCCCTCCTTTGTCTAAATATGAAATGGCTTTCTTCCAGATATATGAACTGCTAGGCAGATGATGATGGCAATGAAGCAATGGCGTCTTACAGTTGTTATTCTGGACGGAACATGCTGCTCATGCGGCTCATGCTTGCTTTTGGATCTTTCTAGCATTTTCCCTCTAAGCGGCTATGTTTTAATACAGTAATTTGTCTGGGGAAGTCTATATGGTCCTTGCAGGCCTAGTTTTTCCGATACAAAGACGTCGCCTACCTTCAAGCTAATTGACAGGGGCCTATTACTAAATGATTTTCGCTGCTAGTGCGGGGCTTCCAGTTACCTAGAGGCGATAGTCTAGATTCACTGAAGATCATCTATATCGCTTCAGACGATGTAATACTCAGGAGAAATAAGGAGTTGAGGGCGGCCTACGTATGAAAACATACAAACACTTCTTACACTACGCCACGTTAAGGGATTTTTACTTTCTAAATCAATCATAGCCTTAATTATTCTTTTCGAACGTTCTCCATTATTCATAGATATTTGGAAACAGACTGTAGGTTAACCCATCGAGTATCCTTTTATACATGATCTAACCGCTGATCCAACTTTAACCGTTGTCATAGTATACAAGAGCCGGGGCGAAAATTCACTATGTAACATATCAATCCTCTGTCGAGTTTTGCCTCTATTCTATGAACGTTCCAAGTGGAGCGAAAAATTATGCTATCCCGGATCCCTCGGTCTCTTTTCTCTTAGATATTAGGGGATAGCATATCAGACTTGACGCACAATTCAACAGTCTCAATGCTGGCTTGAAGCAGGCCTCGAGCTTCAAGTCCAACCCAAACGCGGAGCATGGAAGTGTCGCCCGATCGAACCGATTTCAAGAATGTAGTATTGGATCCAAGCTTCCGCAAAATAGGGAGGGCACTAATGCAGAAAAAAAAATTAATTGTCGTTATCAGATGTACGGGGATATCAAACTAAACACTTTTTAAGGAGTCATCTATCTACTCACCTTTTGAAGAGATCGAGATTTGGGTCAAGACTTCGTCCGATACCTTCTAGAAGAAGGATCGATATAACAACGTTGACAAAATCTCCTTCAAGCCGAACGTGGTAGCCTCGAACCATGGATAGCACCTCACTTAGCACGTCTCCGATGCTAATATTGCCAAGCGCAAAGGTTCGTGACTTGACGCTAAGAACTAGATGCTGCATTTTCAGCGCAAAAACCTCTGGGTCAGTGACCTCCCCTGGCTGGCGGCATCGTTCGACCATGAGCTGACCCGCTCGATACCCATCAAATTCTGCGACAGCGCGGAAGAGATCAAGGAAGTTTCGCCGATTAGTATCATTGAGCTGGGTTACTAAGCCAGTATCAATAAAGATAAGTTGCGGACGATAGCCTTCCGCATTAAGCTGTTCCAGGATCTTGTCCCAATCTTCTGGACTATGGGCATGAGGTCGTAGTCGTGCAAGTACCGCCTCTGTTACATCAACGTCCGCCGTGGTTGGTGCATCGGACGCCCTGGTGTGTTTGCGGAGTGAAAGATCCAACTCACTCGGTTGGTAAAACCGAACCATGATATTACCTGGATGTAAGTCCGCGTGAACAAAATTGTCAATTAATAGCATGTGGAGGAATGCGTCTAGGCCCTCGTGTGCAATTTCTTGCTGAAAGACACCCCCTCCAACGTCAAGGAAGGTTGATAGAGGAATACCCTGCGCAAATTCCTCCACGAGCACTTCGCGGGTTGTGTAGCCCAAGTAGGGGTATGGAAACCAAGCGGTGGTGCGCGATTTGAACTTTTCACGAAACATGACCAGGTTACTCGCCTCGATGCGCAGGTCCAACTGCAGCCTCATCATCTCTCCAAATTGATGAACCTCGTCTGGTAAAGATAACCAGTGCATAGTAGGGATCGCATTGATTAGTGAAGCGAAGAAAGACATAATCTTTAGGTCCCTTCGGATCACACGCTCGACTTTAGGGTGTAGCACTTTGACGGCTACGTATGAAGAGGGAACTCGCTGGGGCGTACTTTTCATCAATACATCGACGTTCTTTCGGACCTTATCTCTTAAACCCTGTATCTCGGAGGCTTCCTGATCCTGATATGCCGCTAGGTTTGATTTCAATCTTGCTTTGTAAACTTGTGCAATAGCCCCCACCCCTAAAGGCTCCTCATAAAACTCCTCGAAGATATCTTCGAATGGCAGCCCGTTGAAGGCCTTGCAAATAGTTTCTTTTGTTTCTTGCAACGAGTGCGAAGGGGCGTTTGAATGGAGAGATGACATGATGTTGCATAGTTCAGGAGGGAAGATATCAGTACGCGAAGCCGCCCATTGTCCGAGCTGTTAGAAGAAAACCATGACAGATATCAGTATGCACGCTGCGGATAATCTGGACTTCTTGTTGGTGGGCAGGGATGGTGCCCTACCTTAATGAAGGCCGGTCCTGCACGTTCCATTGATCTGACGAGGAATTTATACCACCACAGTGTCCCGCTGCGTACATCTTTGCGGGTCTCGAGGCGCTTGCCCAGCCATACAACTGGGACTGTAAGGATGACAGGCAAGAAGACAACTACCAGATGCGCAAACCTGAACCCCGTGGCAATCGGATCATATATGTAATAGTACCAGAAGACAAAAATAGACTGTTGAAACCTCGATAAGCCCCGTGCATCCTGAGTGACACTCTTTTGGATCTCTTGGCGTGAAGCTTCCAGCATATGCATCTCACCAGTCTTTTCATTTCCATCACCTTCCTCGGCCAATTTCAAAAACGCACCGGGGGTTAAGGAAGAGAGTAACAGCGTCCCTGACATATGCATCCGCCTGTGAGATTTCCGCCCAAGCCCTTGCCGCCATGACGGCGGCCGGCTGAAACGCCATCGAACCGGCAAGATGAAGCGGGACAGCAGCTGCGAAGTTCCACCACGGCTCGAACAGAAACGGCCAAAGAGGACGGCCGTCCTCATGTTCTCATGCGAAATTCAGATTATCGAGTGTTGACAGTTTCATTTGATAGCCAGGGAGATGGCGATCGCGAAGGTTGGACTTGGCCAACCGCGAGGAACCCATCGGACATTCGGAGAATCGTTTCACGTGTCGGCGACGTCATACATAGACCGTGAACTAAATAAAAGTGCAGTACGGAGTAGATCAATTAAACTCATCTTCGATTCCCCACACCAACTTGTTTCCAACATATATTGGGACGGAAATGAAAGCTAAACACAATCAATCTTGAAAAATTTCCCTTGCAGAAATGCATGCAGCATGGTGCTTTTTTTTCCCTCTCCGCATTCCGGACAAAAAAAAATAACCAGCCACCTGCAGTTAACTATTTCCGGATCTATCTTGGAGTTGCTGTCGCCGCCGAAAACGGGGATGTGATGGCGACCTTTCGATAGATTTATTATAAATTCCCCAGTGACAGTAGATCCCAGAAGTATGGAGGCCTATCAGTTGCTCGCTCTGGACTAGGTGCATGAGTATGCAGCCCTGTCATGGGTCGCCTTGACTCCAGTATCTGCGATGCAAACTTGCATGGCAGGAACGATCATTCACGCCATTTCTGCTTATCTGCATTGACCTGGTGCGTTGTTAGCTGTACGTGCATTTTTATGGTTTTTGCCAGCGTATACTTCTCAAGGTATTCGCTTTTCGAGCTGGGTCTTTTGCCTCTTCTTATTCAAAGAGCGAATCCGACACCATTCCATGCTTACTCCAAAGATTTTGGATCGTTCGAGAAACCAAAGGATATCAGGATCATTGCACTGGTGCCCTTTCGTAGCCATGAGCGAACGGAGATCCTGGATTGCTACCTAAGAGTGAGTTCTCCCGGTATTGCTTATCATTGTGGCCATGTCTGACTTGACCTACAAAGAGGAACCTCATCGATAACCATGGATTCCTCGACCAAGTGATATTTATCCCGCAGACAAATGACACGGAAAGTCTAGAATGGCTCCTGTCTACTGTGAAACGCACTCCTCTCTACCAAGTCTCGGGGTTCGGTGATTATATCCAGTGGGGCAGCATGGATAGGAATGTGATTTTCATCAAAATAGATGGCGATATCATCTTCTTGGAGGATCATACGATTTCGACCATTGTCAAAACCAAGCTTGATCACCCTGATTCCTTAATAGTCTCCGCAAATGTTATTAACCAAGCTGCTCTTCAAGCCCTCCATAGCCATCCCGGTGTTGCCCTTCCCTATCTTCCCGAGCTTTCTTCCTGCGATCAGCCTGGGATTCCCGTCACCCAGGATTGGCGGGTCGCAGATCTTCCAGCCTGGGAAGGCCCTGCCGACTTCAAAATATCGAAAGGATATCCTCCTCCCGCCGAGAGCCATCGCTGGCTTCCCTCAGCGGATGAGAATGAGGATCGAACACCCATTGGCATGTCCATGTATGGTGACAACGGGCCTGAACTGGATGACTGGACGGTCCATGCACAACAACACTATTCATTTCTACAACATCTCGAAGACGGCGATCTATATCGGTATAAATTTCCCATGTGGGTTGATCCCACCGACAGTGTTAGCCCCAACTTCCTTTGTCTACGGGCAGGCGACCCAAGCGTTTTGAAATCTATTATTCAACAGGACGCATATACGCTATCTTTAGAGGTGGCACAGGAAGTGCTGGGCAGTGATCGAGGCGCTATAATCGATGGGAAAGGGCTAGCTGCGCATTACTCCATCGAGGCAAGTTTTCGAGGGCTGGACTCTACTGATATCCTCCATCGGTATCGAGCGTACGCTGAGGAAATGATTTGCCTAGATACTTTGTGATCCTACTAAGCCCCATCTGCTCTCAACGATTATAGAGAATCGATCATGTCTGGGGATAATCCGGTGTTTCATAAATATATAATACTTCTCTTTAACAGGTTATTGAGCCTTTTTAATACCTGTAAGCTTAGACTAATCTAACTATAATGCGTTCTGTATAATCCTCAAGGACAGGATAGTGGGGCATTGTTGAAGTGTAGATTCAACGTTCTCTAGTACTTTCCAAGTGTTGCAAGACTTGGCTGTTCATTAGGCCTTGTAGCGTATTTTTGGCCGAGTCTGAAAGTTGAATAGGCTGCAAAGTGTAATTAGTATAATCTCAAAGCGTCATTCTGAGAGAATCGCATTACTTACACTTTGTTTCAATATTTCCTGGATGAGGACGATTATGTTGTCACGATCTTTGATCAACTGTAACTTGTCCACTTCGTCCATTGAGCCAAAGGATTCCGCACTCAAGCTTTGCTCAAGAGTTGGGAACAGACCCATCCTCTCTATGCAGTCCACAGCTGTCGCAGAGCCCGGCTGACTAGACGCCATCAACGCGAGGGCAAACCAGCCTTCACTCCGAACAACCGGCCACTGTGATTGAGAAATCATAGCACCTATTGGGAAGGCAATGCCCTCGTGAATGCTAAAGAGACGCCTGAGGATGGCATCTGCTTGTTGGTCTTGTTCACGAAATTTTGGGACGAGGGTACGGCATATGGATGCTATGATGCGTCCAATTTCAGTTCTAATAGGGGTGGAGTCCGTTTTCTCAAACAGCGAAAGCAACTGTGAGAGATAAGTCCTGCTATCGTCATCCCCAGGGAAGGCCTCTAGCAAATGGGATACATTTTCAACTGAAGCAATGATCACCTGCCGTACGATGCTGGTGGCTGCGAACTGAACTTGTGGCACCGTCTCATATTCCCAAAGACGAGAGACCGCAGGAATGATACCAGCTTGTCCCAGATGCAATCTATTATCTCCAGCAATTGCCAAATTCTTCAAGAATCCTAGTGCAGCATGAAGGACGGCTCCTTTAGCGTCACTCTTAACGATTGATATCAGATCCCGGTGGATACTCAGGTCTCGGACCATCACTTGACATACTTCATCCGAACGCGCCAAGTTACCTAACATGACACAGGAACAGATCTGTAGTTGATCCTCCGTTCTCTGCAACCAGCTTCTCAGCATCCGTGAAAGATCAGAGCCAAGGGGATAATATTCAGCGAATAATGGTGCTCCAGATATCTCTGCTAGCATTTGGTTGATCCTTAACTGAACTTGTGCCAGTACTTTAATATCATCATTAGAGGGCCACCCCGCGTCGAAATCCAAGGATTTGCTGAGCATCGATAGAATGTCAGCTACCATGTATCTTGTTATGCAGACATTCTGAAACCGTTTATTATCGAGATACGCCATCGAGCAAGTCGCAATGCAAGAAAATCGAGAAGGGGTATGGACAATGTCCTTATCAACTACAAGATCAATAAGGAGCGAGATGGTTTCATCAGGTGATAACTCTATCCCTTGTTCTGCATGGACCTGTTAGAACCAAGCAAAGGGGGGGAAGGGCTATATCATACCTTGCTCCGCAGTTAGTTCTATTAGCTCATAGGCAAAATCAAGTAAATTTTCGTTGTCCTTGAACGAGTCCTCCCTTATTAATTTCAGGAGTATGTATACTATTTTACTTGCAGCCAGTTGAGACTGGGCCGGCTCTATGAATGGTTAGCAACCAAGTACAGCAAGACTCAATATACCTCACCAAAATCAATGCAAATGTTGTAGATAACAGGTATTACTATCTTTATAAGTTCGGGATTCAGAAGATGTTGGATGATAGCAGAAGTGTAGTTTCCTTTCACAACAATCGTTCTGTTTTCGTCTAAGAAACATAGTGAGAACTGTGGTAGAACCTATATCTATAACACTGAGCGAATTGGACTTACCAGTGTCGGCACAGGAGTTCCCAATCAGTCGCAAGGCATGAAGGAGCAGACCAGTACCAACTTCCTCCTTTGAAGCAATAAGTTGGAGAAAAAAAGATAGAACACCACTCTGTCCATACGGAAGTCGCCACAATGCTATAAATACATCAGCAATGAGGCTAGTCAGCATTTAAATTGTAGTTGCACTTACGGTTCCTACTTCCGTTTGCCAAAGCCTCTGCAGCTTGCACTATGAAGCTTGACCTGCATGTCCAGAGCCTATACAAAATATCTTGGAGGCCCTCGAAAAGAGCATTAACTTGCTCGAAGGAAGGATTATCTTCTTCAGCTTCAGCTGTTGGACTGGTTTGGTATCTAGTCTCCGCCATATTGAGAGCCTCTTGAAAAGTGTCAAACAAAGTTCGTTGTTCTTCAAGAGGCAAAGGCTTAGATACGCCAGGGGCTAATGCCGGGGGCATAGCCAAACTAGATATGATCTGGCTTAGAGACGGACATTCCATGCGTTCGTTTCCTTGTATCTGTGTGATAGGTAGGCTACTTTGCTCCATGGAATTCCGCATGACGTTCAATTCGTTCCTTGGGGTCATTTCTTCGTCCATGGCACTTCAACTTTTGGGTCAGGAAGAAAATAAAAGACCAAGTGATGTATGGCAGTCGCTCCAACTCGATTTTAATGAGTACTCCGGTGGGAGTACATGTGTCTGCTTCCAGAATAAACCCCGGAAGGGGAGGGGGAAAGAATATATAGGCAGGATACGGTCTATCGGATAAATAACGAGGAATAGCAACTGGTTTATTAGGTTCGTTTCCTTGAGCTGAAAATGGGAAAATATCGTATTTGTGAGATTTTTTTGGGCTCCCAGAGTAAACAGGACGTGCGGTTTAGAAAAAACAAATAAATAAAATAATGTACTTTTAAAGAACCCAATAACTCGAGCTCAGGCGGATTTGAAGGATAAACGGACGGGTGCACTAAAAACTGTGAAATACTGTACCGTAATAAATTTATTGTACTGTCAAGGCTGTATTGGACACATTATGCAGTGATTATATAGTTGCAGTTTATGGTTTATGTCTTCTCTCCCTTTTACCGTTTTACATATCCGAACTTTGTTACGCGACCCATGCTCAAGTCTCTCAAGCACTTAATATGCCGACATTGGATGTTGGTATCAGAAACAAGGAATCAACTCCCGATCAATAGGAGTAATTACTAGTACATGCTACTAGTACGGTGACTCGGCTGCCAAGGACGCATCGGGAACCACCAACGAGTATCTATCGTAAACGCAATACTACCCAGCAACATACCTGTCATTCTTTCTTCCCCAAGTCCCACACCTCGCTTTTTGGCGCACCCTGATATATTAGATAGCTCTGTCTATTTTCACTACATCAGTACCGTTGTATTTGCGACTCTTCTTCCTTAGAAATTCAGCTACAGCCCTTGCTCGCCATGACACGCGCTCAACAGACCCTCTCCGTTCTCCTCCTTGTTTCTTCGGTATGCCAGGGACCGCACCCGTCTGCTTATGCTGTTACTAACTCTGATAACTTTCTTCTCCTTCCCTATACAGCTATATCTTGTCCTTTACTTGGATCTTGTCCCCCTCAATGAAACCATTCAAAAAGAGATCGTTCCTGTCGTACGTCTGCTCTCTTCGAAATCGCACTGGTTAATCTTTCTTCACGCCACTAACACCATCGCAACCTCACCAGCTTCCCTTCTATGCCTTAATATCGTTCGGATGTTACCTACTTGGCCGCCTAGGTGTAGCAATCTTAACGTTCAATGATGTACCGGAGGCGCACGAGGAGCTGCAAAAGGAGATCGAGCAGGCCAAGGCGGAGTTGCGCCGGCAGAATGTTGATGTCGACTAAAGCATCTTGATTGATCGGTTCGGTTGTGTGATACTAGCTTCCTCCTATTCCATGTACCATTAGGGTGCCCTTTATTTGGAACTCCGATGCCTTTGGCTTGTGCAGCGGTCGGGGAGTTTAATACAAATATGGGCGAGATATTATTCTGCGGCTTTACCACGGATTTCAGAGCGGGCCAAATCTGACGCTATACATGCCATTATTGTTACGCTACTGTATACAGAAATACCAAGAAGGGTGGCGGTCTGGCTAATAAGATCTATAAGCAAGTATAGGGAAATACTGGAGGACAGACCAGAAACGAGTTGGGAAAACTAGCCTTTTTAAACTGCATCGAGCATCAGAGACAGCCTTCCCGTTTTTGCTTTTTGAGGACGTTGCACCTTTAAGTGTATCGTGTTATTTTGAATTTTCTTGCTTTTTTATGTCTATCAATTGTCGTCAAGGCACCGTTTATATCGTGACATGCCCAGTCATGTTTTGGTCATGATAATAAGAATATACGCCAGCAAATGAAAGCCAAAATGCGTAGGCATGGAGTAAATGTTTGTAAGGAAGTAAACGAAGGCTTTAAAAGAGAGGGTTCTCCTTGGCCAACGCATCATGTTCATCAATATCCCTGTTAGAAATCCGTTAGTTACCGCAAGCCCAGTGCTAGTATAGCAGGTCACATACTTGGCTTCCCATGGATAGCAGATCCAAACATCGTCGGTTGTGACGGAAGCATGATAGCGACCGGAATCCATCATATCCGCGGGAAGTACTCCCTTCTTGGACTTGTTCTTGTTCTATTGCAGGATTAGTATCGAGGCCAACAAAAGAAGTGGATTGACTGTAAAAAACCCAAGAGCGACGTACATGAAGCACGAAGACAAAGAAATTCGTCTTTTCGCCTTCCCGTCCAAGCTGCTTTTGTGCCTGCTCAACATCCTTCTGAAGCTCGCGAACTGCATATTCCAAAGTGGTCCGAGTGTCGTCAACCTCATCCACAATAAGTATGTTCTTGCCGATAAGGTTTGCCATCTCCAAAGAACTAAGATCCAACCATTGTGTCCGAGTCACCTTGGTCCCCGGCACCTCCTCGGCATCACCACGACCCAGATCCTCGTAGAGCGACAGGCCGATGGCTTGAATGGGAATATTGGGCTCACCAGCGCGCTTGAGGAAGGACCTGATGAATGCCAGGTCAGATAGATGCCACTAACAGGCAGTGAATTCAACTGACATACCGGAGAATACGAGCGGGGACATATCCGCCACCGCCAATAGCAATCATAAGATTAGGGTGAAAGGTGGTTAGGATCTTATCAGCTGAAGACTGGCACAGCTTGTGCACCTGGTAGAACAGCGTATTAGCGGGTCAGGCTATGAAGGATCGACGGGGTATCGACGTAGCGAAAACGGACGCTCGTCTTTCAAAAGCCATCGACACCAGAAACATATTCAACACACTCATAAGCTGTATCATATGTAGGTATAGCACCACGACGTAGCTATCTTAGAACATCGATGCAGAAACAAAACCGACTAGACAACCTGGACGCAAAAGACCATACCTGGTTATACGTGACATAAACTTTTTGCGACATTTTGGCAGTGATGGTTTGTACCAAGTGTACAGGCGAGTGCAATGTATCGATCAGAGGAGAAATCTGGTAAACAGTCGAACAGACCGAAAATTGATCGTGGATGTTTAAAAAATTTAATGCTTGCAAAGGTAAGACACGAGGGGTAAAGGGAGAAAAAAAAAAAAAAAAAACTAAATCTGCGTCACAAG